AAGTCTCTTTAAAAAAATAAAAGTACATCCTAGAAGATAAAACGGTTGCGTTATGTCAAGGGGCAGCACCGTGATCAGGTGTTCCCCGCCGCGGCCCTATTTTTAGAGCAGATGGGCCCCGGGGCGGGCTCACGCTTGCGTTACAACAGCATGAGGCTGTTGCTGTGTTTGAGCACGGGTGCGGGCGCCAGCATGGAGAAGGCCCAACTGTACTCGGGGGAGATACTGGAAAGCTGACTAAGCAGAGACGTTTGGGGAGCACGTGCTCGGGATCGTTCGAGGAGGAGCCGGCCGAAAAGAGGAAGCCGCGTCAATCTTCTGTCTGCCTGCGGGGCACGGCAAGAAGCGAGGTGTCTGCCGCGCACCCCTGGGAGTGGTACGAAGCTGATTTATGCTCCGCTCAAACCATCCAAGCATGACGCAGCTGATCAGATAAAAGCGACCGTAACAATGGCTTTTAACGTTCTCCCTTGCCTTAGTTTTTCAGGCCCATCCCTACTTTCTGGGAAAATCGGGGGGAAAAGCAGCCAGCACTGGAGAATAGGGATGCCTGCGTTTCAGTTCTTGGCGAAGCTGGAGGCTGGCTTAGAAGGAAACCCGGGCTGCACATTGTGAGCCCTACAGAAGAGAGCATCGTCACCCTTAGCCGAAGCCTGGAGAAGGACGTTGGTGGCTGCGTTAGGACTTAAAAATTCCCTGCCCTGTGGGGAGACGGGACTTCAGCTGCCAGCAGCAGACAGCTGTCGGACCCCTCTCTTGCCGCTTGGCTCAGCTACAAAACCGCCTTGCCCCCAGCAGCAGCCCCACTGTAAGCCACGCAGCGCAAACGTCTGGCAAAAGACTCGATGGGAACACACCAGGAGAAGCATCCGCTCTGCATCTTCCCTCTAGGGCACCTTCAGGAAGGAGGTGTCGTTCTCCCTCACCTTCAGCACGAGGGTAATTCACACCCTTCCTTAAGCTCCCCCAAGAGCAAGGATTCAAACTGCAATACACTCTACATTAATTGAAACCTCTCAGCTTCACTGCTCCAGATGGAGCAACTTTCCCCCAGATGTTTTTCTCAGATGGACCAGGTGCTCTGCTCGAGACCCTTTTGGTGGGTGTCCTGGCCCTCATCAGAAAAGCAGCGCGATTTAAACATCTCAGCTGAAGCGTTTGGCTATCATAGGACATACGACTGTTAAAACAACCCCAAAGCAAAACTCAGACTTTGGGTTCACAGCAGGAACTTCTTTCCACAGGGGAAAGGCAGACCTAGACCCCTCCCAAGCCCTGGGAGCCCAGCCTCGTAAGATGCAAGTTCCCAAGCTCTGCAAGAGTGACATTCTGTCCACTGTCCCTTCAGAGCCCCCCCCAAGGGTGCTCATAGCCTTAATGCTCCACATTAAAACTAAAGCATTTACCCTGGTACTATTTTCCTCCCCTCTGCAGACGCCACTGAAAAAATAATTCGGTTGATTCAACTTAAACCGATGACAAGGGAGGAAAAATAATTGAACCTATTCACAGTTAAAGCTTTAACTAAAAGGCAATGCAGACAGTATTGTGAATACCGCTTTTAAACCTCTGTCCCACAAAAGGTGGGTTTTCTTGTAACCTTGAATTTAGAAAGCCAATGCTGATTCTGCCTCAGATTTCATCAGCTGCTCGCCGGCACCTGTGCCAGCTCTGCTCTGCTTCGGGAGCCGCACGCAGAGCCTCCTTTCATAAACATTAATGAGTCGGAGCTCATTTCGCAACCAGGCACAGCATTAATGGGAGTCACTTTAGCCTCTTCATTTCTCAACAGTTTTATTGCCTTTTAAGAAAATTTTTGTAAAATATAAATACAAAGGCAGGAGATTTACTTACAAAGTTAAAACACAGATCTCAAACATAAACACACAATTCAGAAAATTTAGTTTATGTACAGTTTCAAGCAACTTCAACATATGTTAGTTTTTCAATATTTTACAAGGTACAGAAAAAATAGTTCAAAGTCTTCTTTAAATAAAGAGCATAAAATGTTTAAACATATATAAACAATCCGGTTTGATGTGTGAAAACTAAATTTCACAGCTTTTAAATTAGGATATAAAAGTTCTTACAATTAGTTGATGTGTATGGATATGGTTTAATTTATATTACAAACTATTGAATTATATTCAATAGTGCTTACCTGGCCAAAGCAGGTAATTCTGTAAACAAAAAAACAAAAATAATATCACCAAGTGCCTTACCGAATTCTATCTCCCAAACAAGCCACACGACTTTGATCACATCACCTAGAAAAAGTATGTTCTGTGTAATCAGTGCTTTGTATGAAACAAAGTCAATGTGTGGGTGTATTCTTTAAAAAAAAAATGTGTTCCGAGTAATAACAAACTTATCCCAAAGCCTGTGTGCATTTAAAGAAACATTATATAACAATTTTGTAAAAACTGATTGAAGTTAAAAAAAAAATTCTTCCAAAATCCATCCAACTGGAATTCAGATCTCTTATATAAAGGAAAGATATTTTCATATTTAATAGTGTCCTTTCTTTACAGAAACAATTGCATTTGAACACATATACATAAAGAAGTAACTGTATAGAGCACTGTACATTAAATGGCCTGATGGTTCACCAGAGGATGTCAAAGGGAGGGTCCTCGTGCGGATGCAACCAGTGAAGCGAGGAGCCGAGCAAAGTCTTGAGTTCACTTGTAAACTCTACCAAGTCCAACAGCTCTTTGCTCTCTGGATTAAAAGCTTCAAGTTCTGTAGCGCAAGAGAACAACTGGCTGAGGGAAGTCTGTTTGTAAAACTCTGCCTCCGTGATGGTGACAACTTCCAGATTGGGGAAGTTGCAGCGGAAGATGCGAGATGACATTTTTAGCCTCTTCACCACGTCTGAGAGCAAAAGCCAGTTTCGTGGTCTGTGGAAGTGAAGGAGAAACAGGCTCCAATAACTGACGTTAAGTCACGGGCTTCTCGACTCTTCACCGTATTGCCGTGTGCCAAACCCTCCCGCACAAACAACCTCCCTGAAATCAAGACCATTGCCCAGGGGGGGCGAGTATAACAGATGTACAGGCGCGTACATATTTACTCATAGTTCCGCAGCTTTGGGAAAGGAGAGGGACCAGGCATGCCGGGGCACTGGAGCCTATACAAACCCAGGGCTCGTGGGCGCACGCGTGGGTCAGCAGCCATCCCTGCTGCTCACGTGGTTAAAGGCTTGCCTGGCTGAGCCCAACTCCCATTTAGCAAGTTAGGGGATGGCCTAGAGTTATAATCAGAAATTTCAGCACCTCTGACCTCCAGAGATGCCCATATTAAATACAAGTCAACAGAGGGGTTTTTCTCAGATTAATAATACAATTTTTTAATTTAAACCTGTTTTGCTGCAGACTCTGAACAGCAGTAGCAGTGTCATTTCATCATCCACAAAACCATGTCTACTCAGCAAAACAGAAGTTAAATAAAATTAAGAACACCTTACAAACATGATACCCAAATTTAAGTGCTAGAAGCACCTGTATTTTGGGGTGTTCTATCAAGGTGCCTACCTGGGACAAGGGAAAGCATTCGTGTTCAAACATCATTCGTTCAGCTCAAGAGTATGGCACTCAAAACACAGCCCCGACAAGTCAGCCTTTTCCCCCTCTCACCTCCTATTAGCTTATTTCTAAAAAGCCTGGCAGTTACAGTACTGCGCTCTCATTTACGTTAGATAAATGCAAATGCATTTCCTCACAGACACAAACTGCTACTCCCAAGCAGATCGTCTCAGCTATTTTTACCCCAAACCCTGTATTTGTTCTTACCCCTGAGAGAGACACACTTGAATGTTGTAACACGGCAAGGGGGGCTCATCCGAAAATTCAAATTCAAATACATCACTGAAGCCATCTTCGTCTTCATCACCTGGTCCAGGAGGATTTGCCAAGATGTCAAATCCAGATTCATCTTTTGGATCTAAATAAAATCGAATAAAGGTGCCAAGTCAGCACTGAAGAGACTGTTGCAGGTCTTGCTTTTTCTTCCAACAACGTGATCTGTAAATAAAATCAGTTTGCTTCCTTCCTAGCCTCCTCTACCATAAAAACAAAACAGCCCCCACCCCCACGTGCCGCATGTTTTGAAAGTCTCCGCATACAAAGAAATAAAGGGTAACATTTGCTCACCGCACACAGAGCTGCCATAGAAATCCCAGTACAAACCAGGGTCATCAACACTCCGACCTTGCAGGTCAGTTAAATATTCTGGAGAGGAAAAAACAACAACAAAAACATACTGATGAGAACATAAAGCTGGCAAGCTTAGCAGACTGTATGTCATACAGAGTCTCACTATGCACGCTCCATCCTTTCCATCAAATAAAACCCACACCATATTCCTGATGCCCATGCTACAAAAAACAACATATACACACACCATTCTTGCAAATATTCCTGGAATTCGCTTTTCTCCCGCACCCCTTCTTCCATCACATCAAATAATGACCCACCACATCAAATAATGACCCATGGTCTAACATGGACGGACCCAACCTTAAGCTTCAGCAACTGAGAGCGGCATTTCATTTTTGTGAAAGATAGGATATATCACACTTTTTCGCCTGCACAGTTATTCTGGATACCAACTTGGGGGTGAAACAGTGGCCCCAGAGAAAGTGACAGAAAAGGCTTTTCCACACAGATATGTTCAGATGTAATTCTTTTCTACAAACGTCATTTGGGAGATTTGCTAGTTGAGTTGATGAAAAGATACTAGGATTCAAGACGCTAAGAAGTCCAAGATACCAGACTTTACTGGAGTCTTGATACACCTATGTGCTTTCTACACTGCACCATTTAAACAGGTAAGTGGACGAGTACTTAAACTCATTGACTATGAACACTGCAAACATTTTCAGAGGTAAGTTATTAGGGAATGCAAGTGTCTTTATCCAAAACTAACAGGGAAAAAAACTAAAACCATGTTACAACATGGACGTGTTTAAAGACAAGAGCCTTTAATATAGTTTTACAGCATTTCAGATATAAAATGAGGCAGAACTTGCAAAAAAAACAAGTACTAGAAGGATAAAAAGCAGGACCACAGGAAAACGTGATTATGTTTAACAAACGGCTATTCGATTTGGCAAGTTTCTTATTTTCATTTCAAGCAGAAAACCAAAGGCACTGAAACAGCCAGCTGACCTCCTACGTACCAAATCTGATAGTGGCATAATCCTTACGACTTATTAAATGAGTTTCGGTTAGAAGGAGCCCCCATGCATGGCTACGCTTCCCACCTGCAGTCACCGCGTTTTTGCAGGCAGAGAGGGAGCTACTGCAGCCTACCCCAGCGCTCCTCAGCACGAAGACATTCCCGCTGGGCGGCTGAGGAATGTCCCTCCATTCACCACAGCCGGCAGAGCCCCGAGCAACATGGCCACGCACCTGTGAGGAAAGTCTCCATGAGCTCACTGTGGGTCATTTTCACGATGGTCCTTCCAGAGTAGGTCGCAAGCGTTGGATCAGCACCATAAGACAGTAACAGGCGGACAATTTCCAAGTGATCGTTTTCGACCGCGTCATGGATTGGTCTAGGGAAATAAAAAAAAAAATCACGGCGTTACATTTTGACTCAATACTATTATGCAAATGTGTCTGACAAGAAACTTCTGACTTCAGATCAAAGTTATTTATAGAAAATAACACTATTAATACAGCTGCCAATCATCTCGTCGGTTTTACTTGCACATCATCTCCTCCCCTCTTGTCTTTTGACAGTCAGGCTGCTTGGGGCAGGTATTTCTGTTATATCTATTCATTGCTGTACGTATTTCGAGGGCCAGTAAAGTAATTACACCGCTGTAACAGAAAGCAGGAGTTTGCGTGAAGCTTCACAAACATCATTTTGCTGCAAGTCACTCTACCATTCCAAATCTCTGCCAATTTAACAGCATGCTGTGGAGTAAGGGCTCATTCAGCCTGCCTCTGGGCAAGCACGGAAATCAGTTACCCAAAGCTCCTAAATTATGTACACAGAAATAAGTTATGAGAATTTGCTAGGAATTAAACCTCCGCTCTATATCCTCTTTAAATAGTACTTGCAAATGTATTTGCAGCACAATTCAACCCTTCTACTTGGAGAATAGAAAAACATGTTATTTTAAGTTTAGTCCACCTAGAAGTTAATGCATTTTACGTGGCACGAGCAATCTATACAAGCTCAGACATAGATTTTGTGAGCCTACAGAAGGATTATTCATTAATGCACATGCCTGTAATTCCAGGTTTAGAATTCCTTATCGCTAATTATAAATCGCATTAACTTTTGCCTTTAAAATTGATTATATGTAACAGGGAGTTGTCTGAAAGTAGAATATATTACCCTTTAGACTAATGAAGATGTGTTAAAATCCCATCTTTTCCTTACAGGGTGATGAGCAGGGAACTGAAAGGGGAGTCAAATGCAGTGGCCAGTAATCATGGCAGTTCAACTCAACTCAACACTCCTTCTCCTTTAGGCTGTCTACACCACTGCACCCCAACAAACTTTCAAGCCCTCAAAGAGATGTATTAAAAAGCAAGAGAAGTAAGGAAGAACTTGAACCAGGATCACATACGGTCTTCCTGGAAAGCTTTCAAGAATGACATTATAAGGAGAAGTCATTTGGAAGCACAGACTAGCAAACCCCTGAGCTCCGTCTACCAATCTGCCACGCAATGCTTGGCTAACAACCGGAGCTGAAACGCCCTCCTGCGAAGAGGCCACGTCCCCACTCCGGCCACATGCAGTAATGTCCCCTCTATGTCACCACCGCTTCTGTACGGGCTGGCGTCCACGTGAGCTCAGGACAGAGCAGCGGCAGATCAGAACAGCCAGAAGAGGAAGGCACGCCACCGTTTCCCATCTATCACATAGCGCCGATGGTAGGAGAGTGACTCTGATCCATCTCAAAAAGAATTATGTTCCAGGTGTGTTTACTCAAGTATTTTCCAGTGGGCTGTGACTCAGGGCAATTAACATCTGTCACGTGTGAAGCACTCTCACTTGCCCCCACCTTGCTGGAAAGCTGTACGCAGTTTTGGGTTTGGCATATGCACGCTGTATTGACGCAAGGAGCTGCACTTGAAGAGTTTGAGGCTCGTTCCCTATGGAGAAGGCTTATCCCGCACTGCCTGTCTCCTGCGCGCCCCAGGCCACCAACACAGCAAACGGGTGATCCTCGAGCTCCTGAGCACAGTCCTCAGTCCAGCTCGTGCCACCCCTCAGACCCCCAGCACCGGAGAGCACAACACGTGCATGCCTTCAAAGCCCGATGGGCCGCTCTTTAGAAAAGCCACTTTCAAATTCAAAGACCAGGGAGGTTCGTGAGGTCTTGCAAAGGGTCAGAATATCCCCTTCTCAATTTCTCAGGTAAAGTCTTTTATCACTGAAACGATCTGACACCCTTGGGACAGACGGCGCTGGAGAAGCCAGCATTCCCAGGGCCCCCGCAAGCCTCACCCTCCCACCTACGGAGGGAGTCCCACGGTCCCGGTGCTTCCACACAGGGACTGCCGCCGCAGCACCACGTGCCTACGCAGCACCCCGCGCATCCAGGACCTGGCCGGCGCTAAACACCCCAGGCGATACAACGCCAAGAGGTAACAAATAACAGGGGTGCTGACACGGAGGCTGAAGAAGTATCGGGTGTTTCTGGCTGTCAGCAAGCATCTGAGGCCCAAGCTGTCGGGTCACGACACTCCGAGCATCCACAGTGGGAAAGGTCAGCCTTGCTGCAAACCCTCCTGTCCCCCACTGGGCATGAAGCATCCCTGGCTGAAAGTCTGGCAACAGGCACCAGGAACAGATGAGAGTTTCAGCTGCCGCCAAATGCTAGGGACGCTTTTTCTTCCCCGCTCCCTCATTTTACTAGAGTCTTTAATTTTGAACTGTTTTCCATTTTATTTTAGAATTAGGATTTTCTGGTTGGGGCGGGGGAGGGGGTGTTGTGGGTTTATTGGTTTGTGGGTTTTCTTGTTTGGCTTTTTTTTTTTTTTAACTGACTTACCTAAGTGGTTTTTGAAGCAGTAATGAATTCAAGATGATCCTTTAACTTATTAAAAACAGCATCTAAATCACAGCCCAGTGTTTCAATCGATTTAACGACACCCGGATGAGTTTATTAAAGGGCGCCTGGGCATTCCCTAGGAAGGAAACATCGCAGCGCATGGGCTGTAACCCCAGAATGGGACCCCCCTCCTCTCCCTGGGGCCACCCAGCCCAGCACAGCCGTGCAGACAGGGGCACAGGCAGCGGAGCATGCAGCAGAGCAGGCAGCAGAGCAGGCAGTGGGGCAGGGAGACCCGTCTCTGTCGCCTGCCAGAGCACAGGGAGGCCGCCCCGGGCCCGAGACGGGACTTTATAGAGGCAAGGGGAAGGAAAGGCGCAGTAAAGCCATGCGGAAGGAGGAAGAACAATAAACAGAAGGAAGGAAAGGGAGGAAAGAAAACACTGGTGGGGAGGGGGGAAAAAAAGGAGATTCCCCATAGATAAGGCAGGGGGACAAAAGCAATAACAGAGTGCTGACAGACTCTTTTACTGGCTAGCACAGCTTATTTGGCAAGCTCATGAGCGGGACCATGCAAAGGCACCGCTACTCATGTTTGCTTCTCCCACCAGGACTGGCAGAGGATGGAGTATTTTTCAGTCTTGGCGGAGTTTAACCATCCTCTTCGTAGCACGCAAAAGTGACTACTAGAGTCGGCAACTTTTTCCGATGGGAAAAAAAAGATCCCTGGGAGTCCTCTCACTGGGCTGGTTTGCCCATATAATCTTTTCCGCCCTGAGCATCGTGGAAATAAACACTCTCTATCCCTAATGGTACAGTTAACGGGAGTACAGCTCATTTCTAAAACAAACCCTTCAAAAGGCCCCAGAAGGATCCGGGGACATTCAAGAGCTGCAATATCCTACAGGAGACACACGTCTCAACCCTCTCTTGTGTACTGTCGAATTCTTCCTACTATTTTTACCGCTACTAGAGTTAGGAAAACATTTCACTGGGGGTTTATCATTCCATCACCAAAATTATAAACTATTTAGACCCGTCAGGGTTTGCTCTCAGTCTTTCAGGCACCACCAGAATTTCCTCACTGCAAGAAGAGGTCTCATAACTCGCCGAGCAATACTGTATCTTGGTGTTTTATTTTTATTTCCATCTACTCTATTATGCAACCCTGCCCCACGGAAGAGGCAAGGCACAAGTTGCAGGAGGGCAGCTACACCGGCTGCCTCTTCTTTAACGCAATTAGCTGCTGGAGGGTATCACTCTGCCAAGACCAGCTGAAAGGACGCAGGAAGAGAGCCATCTTGGCATGGTCCTCCCAGGGAATAAATAAAAAGGGCTGAGCTCATCAGCTGCCAGCGAGAAGGATAAAGCAAAACTGGCTGCGGAGGGTGAATCTAGCGAACGGACTCTGAAGCAATGGAGAGGCCTTGCTACCAGGCAGGAGATGCCTGTATTTTTGGCACGTTGGCTTTGTTTTTAAAGCGGCGCTGGTTCAGCTAGGGCATGCATGGAGGTAAGAAGAGAAGAACAAGGGGGTAAGGCCAAATGCACCAGCAACCATCCTTGCTAATGTCAGGCGCTGGTCGTCTTATGCCCCTTGTTGAGCTACCGCACTCACTGGGGTCCTGTCAGGGAAGGAAAGCGCTCACCTCTTAAGCACAGTCTATTATTATTTATAGGTAAGACGATTAAGAGCCCTTAGTGACTGTAGCACCTCTGAGACAGGTCTTAAAGATCTTGCCCCGTTCTACAATAATCTTTGATTAGCTACTAATTCAGCAGCAGAGCGCTTGTGTATTCAGGGGCTGCAGGCACTGCATTTGGAGGGCCAGGCTCAGCATTGAGTTTAAGGGGGACAACAGCAGCAGACCGCTGTATTTAGCCCGGCCAGATGCGCCATGCATAGGGCAGAGAGAGGCCACGGTGTGCCACAGGTAGCAGAGCCCCAGCGCTGAGCCCAGGGTGAAGGGAAGGAACGCACTGTACCTACACCACCCCGCCGCCGCAACGCCGCCACCTCCTTGCCCTGCCTCTACAGCCTGGCGCTTCATTTGGGTTTGGCTTCACCAAGATTTCCGACAGCGTCAGAAACCAGAGGCCGAAAGCCAGCCCTAGGTACGGAACTCGCGACAGACTGGCTGCGCAGGGACGGAAAAGGCAACGCCAAAGCCAGAGGCTCGGGTCTCTGCTTCGCTTTCAAAACGTGAACACGCACGCAAAGCCACCACGGTGACGGGAGCACCTGCCGCACGCCGGGCAGGACGGCAAGGAGAGATGGTGCGGACTTCGCAGAACTCTCCTACATCCTTCACGTTCGCACGGATGCTTTGTTCAGAGCGAAGCCATACCCTCACTTGTCACAACTTCACAGAGTGCCCTCCGGAAAGTTGACCACAGAGGCAAGCAGGCACCGATGTAACGCAGACCAAAGCTTCAGGCAGGTGGGATCCAAGTGACGCCCCAGGCTGCCACACTAACAAACGCAGCATATGCAGTTACATCACAGCTCGTGCAGTTACATCACAGCTCTTTGCAGATTTACGTTAAACTGGCTGAACAGAACTAAACACGTCCGCTGTTACCATCTGGAGACTTGAAAGCTTCCAGCATGACCGAAAATATCTTTGGCTAGTGGGCCTGTGAGGTGGCAGAGGGGGCAACAATAAGACATATCCAGTGTAGTCATAAAAGCAGGGGAGGGGGATAAGTCTTTGATGGTAGGTTTGTTTGGGGTTTTTTTGTTTTTGAGATTTAAATTTCTTACCAAGGGGTGAACATGTTCAGGAATTTGCATTTTAAAAGCAATACAATTGAGGAAGACTGACACTTCTTTCCTCCTAAAAGTTAGAGGAGAAAAACTTACTGAGGCTTCAGGACAGAAATGGGATTTGTTTTATGAATGTCATGGTTTACTCTACAGAGTCACAGAAGTCTGGCCCTACCAAAAGGCAGGGGACAATGCGGATCAGAAGCTCCTTACAGAAGCTTCTGCTCTCTTGTCTTGCTCAATTCAGGGCAGCTAGACCATCTTTTATCTGTATATTAGATATGTTTTGGATCCACACTGTCTGTTGGGCAGCTTTAAAAAAAAAAAGTCTCCCATCAGAAAACAAAGGGGACCACAAGCTGAGTTATGATATTACCATCTATGATCAGATCATTGTTATGTTCATTTCTAAAATGCATTTTCCCCAAAACAACTTTTCAGGGTACATAAGCCACGTTTCTTTCTTGAAAATCAGCTCCATCTGTGAATCGAAATCAAAATGTGGACTCTGAACAGGCAGGTGATTAAGACTGGTCAGAAACTTGGGGTTAATTCTCTCTACAGGTTATTCTGGTGAGACAAAAATAATTTAGGTAATAATTTATGGCAACTCGCTGCTGTTGCACAGGTCATGTATTGTGAAGTTGGAGACAGCAGAAAATGCGGGGCTGTTTGTCAGCCTAGAGAGCCGAGACGTCTCACGAAGAAGTGGGAGATGGAGAAGGAATCTGACAATCCAGCCAGAGTTTCAATGTTTCTCCAGAAAGGTTTCCTTTCGGCCGTGATGGGCCGGTAACGACAGACCATCATGAACTTCTAATGGACCATCCTAACCAGCCCTCTTGGGACTTTTGTTTTCCTGACTCCTCCCTTCCCAAGTTAATAAATAAAGAGCTTAGAAACAAAAGAGACAGACTCTTAGTTATGCTAATTTTACCTCCCTGGCTATTCGGATGGTGATAGTGAATGCGATAAACCATTTAAGATAACAAGCTGCAGGAGCTTCGCAGAATACAAAGCGAGCCGTCCCCAAAATGCATAGACTGGATAATGTTCTGTGTATGCTGTGGAAAAGTTAACGCAAGGTCAGCCCCGCAGAGAAGGTCAAAGAGGTACTTTAAGAGATGCACAAGAAGCTTAAAAAAGATGCGGAGCAGCATTTCTATTAAAAAAAAAAAAATCTCACTGTCTATTCTGCGAGCACAGGAACTAAGGAACCTTGCTACTTTGTGAGGGAAAGGAAAAAAAAGCCTAATTCGACATAAAAAAAAAAAAAAACCAAAATATCAAATGAGCAGATACAGTTTATAACAGTTCAGGAAAACAACATTTTTATATAGTGTATATAGGACTCGCACACCCAATCCTCGCAAAACCCTGAAGCGCTCTTAAAAGTAACCCTGCTAACAAGGCAAAGTCCACTCTTCCGGCACAACTCAAAGGACCTGGAGCGCATATGAGCGGGGCTGCAGCTCAAGTATCGCTCCTTCCTGCCCTGCAGCTGGGAATTTCACAAACTCTTTTAATAACACCAAAACAAACGTATTAAAATTCCCTGAGGAAAAAAAAATTACACTGAACTCAAGTGACAACGAAAGCGTGCCCCCGCCGCTTTATTAACCGGCGAGTGGAGGAGGTCCCCGAGCCCTGCACGCTCCTGCCCAAAGAACAGCGATAAGGGGACCACAGCACGTCACCCGCTCGGGGGGTTCCACGCAGGATGGGAAGGGGGACAAGGGGAGAATACAGAAGCCGAGAAGGGAAGGGGCGCTTTCTCCCACCATCATGACTGAAGAAACTACTGCCCGGTGGTGGTGACCACCCAAAGCTGGGCCGGGGGTGCTGCTAACCTGGTTCCATCCTGAGCGCTGCAGTTGACGTCAGCCCCGTACTCCAGGAGATGCCGCACGATGCTCAGCCAGCCTCTGGCACAGGCCTCGTGCAGGGCACAGTAACCCGCGTTGTCACGATGATTCACATCACACACCTTGTTTTCCAAACAATACAGAACCACTTCCTGGAAATGGGAGGAAAAAACAGATACACTGAGTTATTTCTTGCCGCAGAGATGCACAGATTTCCTGAAGGAAAAGGCAAGGGGAAAAGGGCAAAACACAAAACCCCTATGATATAAGTTACCCTCTTTGAGACAGGTCAGTCAAAAGGAAAAGAAAAGGGGAAGCCATTGAAAGTCCTGCTTCTTCAGAAGACACAGCGGAGACCACGAGCAGACCAGCTCGTGCAAAGCAGCACCGAGCGCTCCACGCCACGCAGGGATCTGCCCGTGGCCCCCAATGTCAGGAACTGTCACAGAGGGGGAACGTGCAAATTTCGCAGACAAAACTCAACAGCTTTCCACTTCTCAAAACTTCCATATGTAAAGCTAGCAGGAAGGTTTTTACTCTTACATCTGCGTTTTTTAGCAGAAAATTCTGCAAGCACAACAGCAGCACAGCCGACGTCAGTTTGATTTTAAAAAGAAAAAGCGCGTGACCCGAAACAAAACACATTTAAGACACACAAAGGACGGTTTGCTGTCGGCAAACAAAAAAAAAAAAAAAAAAAAAGCCCAGCTCTATCAAGATGAGGGAAATCCCATTTTCACCCACCCTGGTTTTCTGCATGCAGAACTAAAGCCAGGCACCAGGTTCCAATAACGAGCCCGGCGCCGTGGGAAGCCATGTGAATTTAACACAATTCATCTTGCAGTCAAATATACCACGGTCGAAAGCCTAGGCCAGACTCAGCTCTAAGCTGTCGCACAGCCTTGAAACAATGACTGCTCCATCACTCAACCAAAAATTTAGGATGGTGCGAGTCTTCCTCGATTTGTCTCAGATGCAAAAGAGAAAAAAAGAAACCCACTCACATTTCTAAGTGATGCTGCATGTATAAAATAGCCCCCACATTCCCAGATTAGTGGCAAGCTATTAATTTTGCGTTTGCTCCTCTCAAAGGCTGAGCGACATCCTTGCAAAGCGGGATACGGCGTGGAGGGGGCGAGTGTTTGCTTTGCCGAAGCAAGAGAATAAAACAACCACCGGGCGCGATGCATTTATTCTTCCCGTTTCAAAATCTACCGGAAAGCCCACAATAATCTGTGCTCTGGATATACCTGACCCGAGAGCTGGTATCCAGGATACAGCATGAAGCTGCTCTTTTAGCAGGCCCGCACTAACCAGGCTAAAGCGGGGAGCTAATGAGCCGCCCGTCCCAGGCACCAGAGCATCCCCCTCACCTGCTGCCGGGACGGAGCGGTCCACCACCCACACCTGATACACCCACAGGTCTAACCTGGGATCCCCACAATCCCCCCTCTCACCGAACAGGGGCTCTTCACGTTCCTGCTCATCAGCCCAAAGGCCAAAAATCAGTCCAGAAAGGATGCTCTTTACCCTGCACTCGCTCAAGCCCTTAAAAAAGGGTTGTGTGAAATTATACCCTGCAGGTAGGAATTTTCCTTCAAAACCAGACCACCCTGCCAAGCAAATTAGCAGATGGATATAGGTAGCAGAAGCGGCTGCCGTATTCAGCTCCACTTTTAGCATGCAGTTACCATTTAAAATAGATTCTGCAACTCAAAATAAAGGAACAACTTTCATCTATTTTTGTAAAAAGGAAAGGCTCGTCCTAGGGCGGAATACCTACTACTGGACGAAAAGGCTAATTTTGTCGAGCAATTCTGTGTTAAGAGGCTATAAGAAGAATGCCATTAACCACAAAATGTAACCATAAAGACCATAAAACTCTACATTGTTAATTAATTAAATGCCTCATTAACTTTTTTTAACATGATTTATTCAATTTACAAAAAAATTAGCCATCACTGCTGAACACGGGAACATGTGGTGCCGCAAACACACTTTTGGTTTCATAAGCATCTCTCGCTAACATTAGACAAAGGCTGTGAAAGTGCCACGGGGCAATTTAATGTCTGTTCAGGTGCTCCATTTAAACCAGCAATCTGAAAATCACTCGCAGTTAATCCAAAGAGTCAAGCTAGCACGTCACCAGCCAAGATATGTGCCACTGCCGCTTCTGCTGCCTGCAGTTTGTTAGCCAAATTGCAAACACCAAGGTTAGAAGGTGCATGCAAACATGCATCCTCCATCCTCCTCTACAAAGAGGTGCGCTTCGCTTTAGTCTCTCCCACCCGTGCTCTGCAGCAACTCCTGCCCCTTTTCCAAGGGAAGGGGTCAGCATCCTCCTGCACATGCCCCATGCCCTGTGCATCCCCCATGCCCTGTGCATCCCCCACGCCCTGGGCAAGCATGCTGCCACCAAGAAGCGTTATTCCATCCCACCCAACCTCAAAACACGGCCCTTGGGCGAGGCGTTATAAGCTGAGCCGTAAGGCTTCCCTGCAGCACTGTGCCAAACTCCAGAAGTGATGCTCGTCCCCTGGCTGGGTGCGGGAGCCCCAAGGGAGCTGTGCGAGCGCCAGGACGATGCTCAGGAGCTCCTGTGGCGGTGCCACCAGCGACCCATGAGGGCTGGACCCTCGCGTGAGGCATCCCCAGGGCAAACCCTCTCTCCCTGCCTGGATAAAACCCTGTATTCATGAGTGTTCCATCTTTCCCCCACCCCTACCACACACCACACGTTCCTCTAACTTCACTGCCTTCCCAGGCAGGATTTAATCCCAAATTCACCAGAGAACTTTCCGAGTCCAGGCTCGCACCAAAAAGCAACAAGCGGCACAAAGACAGCCAGTGTTTCCTCTCCCATCAAATGCATTATGCAAGCCTTTTGTAGTTTTTTCCCAAAAAGACTTTACGCTCCCTATAATTCCCCTTTCACAAAAAGTAAATTACAGTTTTAAGACTACTATTACCTCAAGTCATTTGTTTCAAATGGGGAAAACAGAATGGATTCGAGAGCTCCCATACCCTGGGTTGCGAACATCCTGATGAAGCAAGGCCCGGTGCAGAAGCCTAGTGAAGAAAAGCGAAAGCTTCCCACCAGCTTCGGCAGGGTTTTGCTCAGCCCGTATGGATTTCCAGCACCGAAGACCATTTGCCGCACTGTCTCTAAGTAGCCTTGTTGGCTGCAGCCCTGCAATTTGTCTGACCAGACACAAGCCGCATTTGTCCTTCGATGTTTCACTCACGTCAGCTTTTACACGAAAAATCGTAACCGCCTGTGTCCTCCCTTCCTGCAGCTATCTGGGGCACATCCACTCTGTGCAGCTGAGAGTGGGGCAGAGGCACCTGAGCTAGTGGCATTTGGGCTCCTCACGGGTCCAGGAGCAATATATACAGCTCACCAGCATCTTTGCACGTCAAAGGTGCCAGCACTGGCCTCTGGGATTCTGGTGGGATCCCTGCACGGCCGCCGGGCATCCCTGCTGCAAAGGCAGGCAGGCAGCCAAGGGCAGGCACGAGTTCACCCAGTCTCAGCGCAGAGCTGTCGCTGCTGCTCTGCCCCACAGAACACCCCT